GTCTCTCACCTTTTGTTTTTGCTGCAGATCGAGTGTCCTGCAAGGAAGTCTGCAGCTACTGGGATGTTCTGAACTACCTGAACCTGACCACTGATGCCAGCATGCATAAAATGACCCGACCGGTCCGGGACTACACGACGCCCACCATGGTGCAGCTGGACATCCTCCTCTATGCCATCCTGGCCGTGGTAGGCGCTGTGTGATGTGATTCACTAAATAACTCCATGCAGGGGCTCAGTTCTGACATTTTTGTGCGTTTGTTCCCAGATCGAGAAAACCCAAACCTTCATTCCTTTCATCTGGGTGACGATGGTGAGCTGCCTGAGTGGATCTTTTACTTTTGATTATTTAAAACTCTATTTTGAAAACACTTCTTCTATCTCTGTATTTTTGTTATTCTACCTTCAACCGACTGCAGAAGTATAACAACGAGTTCATCTCGTGGGACCCCGATCAGTTCTGTGGAATCACTCAGGTTTCGGTTCCTCGAGATCTTCTCTGGAGACCCGACCTCTTCATCTTTGAGATGTGAGCCACGTGCAGCACACGCAGACAAACTTTAGTACAAGAAATGCAAAAACAAACAGGTTTAAAAGAGATGGAAACAGGCTTATCGCTGTCTGGCTGAGAGTTGGAGGAGTTAAAACCCCGCTGATACCAGTCTGTTAGGATCACTGCTGGTTATGTTAGCTTAGCATTAGAACTGGAAACAGGATGAAACTCTGACAAAACCCACCCAGAACTCACTAAATAACGCTTTTTACCTTATTGATTTAATTTAAATAAAACCTGAAGTACAAAAATCTCACTTTGGAGTTTTGCTTAAAAAAAACAAACAAAAAAAACCTATTTTCGATTTTTTTAAAGTTTTTTTTTCTTGGATTTTCGTCAAATAACTGTTGATTACAGCTGAGTCACTAACGGCTTTACAGTTGCACCAAGGCGTGCAGAATATTTAGGTTTTTACAGAATCTGGTTAATACAAATATTGTATTTTGGAAGATTTGTTTTAAATGCGATGTGATTGTAAAAGGTTAAGTTTCATATGAGACGTTCAAGGACCATCAAAGATTTTTTCTTTCGCCCAAGTTGGCGATTTTTATAAAAGATAGTACACCTTTTAATCTGGCAGGTTTTGGGGTGCGGAGGTTTAAATATAATTTAAATATGTAAGGCCATAATCTTTAATCAGACACTGCTNATAATCAATCAGCTTTAATGCTCGGCGGCTGCAGTGCAGCTAACAGTAGAAGACGACGAGACCAAGTGGCTTTAAGTGGTGCCAGTGTTCATCATGTCGTTATCGCTTTGGTGATCGAGTTCCGCTCTAATTGAATTTCTCATCTGCTGCGTGTTGTTTTGCATGTGCTGCAGTAAATGTCCGTTTTGTAACCGCTCACATGTGCAGCCTCACAGCCTCGTGTTCCCATCACCTGTTTCACCTGAGCTGTAAAGTCACATTACCGCCGCTCCCAGACAGATAAATCCCCTCCGACTGCTCTTCCCTCAATTTTCTTATTTGTCCTCTGTCCTCTTAAACCAATCATCTTCACCTGTCCTGGAAAATCAAGGCCATCCCAGACGTATACCGTATGTTTTCCTCCTCTGTAAACCAATTTGCAGCGCCAGTCTCGGTCGTCCACGTGGGAGGGTTTTCTCATTTCAGGCGGCGAGCGGGTCATCCATCGACCCCGCCCTCCTCAGCTGAAACCAGAGGAGTGGAGCAGCAGAGACACTCGGCTGGAAGCTTCTCCTCAGACATGATGCGTGTTGCCTTTCTGCTCCTGATCGTCCTGACAGGTAAGACTTTGTGCTGTTTTGTTCATTTTCATCTATTTGTAACTGATCCTGAAACAGAAATGATCAAATTAGTGCTGATGCTTCTCACAAGTGTTGCTTCGCCTGTTGCACAGATAGAAAACTCCGATTCAAGGAAGGAAGGGAAAACAGTTGACTATAAATGGGCCAGAAACCAGGAAGCCTCTCGCTTGTCAGTGCATCTACAGCTAAAAAATGTAAACAAATGACAACATTCAGTTTATATTCTCATGATCCACTCTCAGAATTGGAAAAAGAGGAGAAAAAAAAGCACAGAAATGTGTTTTTATTGACTTTGTGAATGATATTTAGGAGATAAGATATTCTTTTATGGCTGCAAGGTGGTGCAGTTGGTAGCACTGTTGCCTCGCAGCAAGAAGGTTCGCGTCCCGGTGGGGGCACCGGAATCTTTCTGCGTGGAGTCTCCATGTTCTCCCCATGCAGTGTGGGTTCTCTCCGGGTTCTCCGGCTATATATGTAGTAATATGTAATCTAAATATCAATGAGCAGGGATCTTGTGTATGTAGAAAATATTGACAATACACAGGCTCTGCTCAGGAGCTCACAGTACATCTAGTTAAATTAACAATAATATGTGCATTTATGTTTAATGTGTAATAAACAAGACAACAGTATCCGGACACTGGAAGCCAAATGAAATGATAGAACAACAAACTAAGATGCTGCATAATGTTCAAAGCAACACAAACATGAGTAAATAATACAAAAAT